GCGATCGACTTGTTATTGCCAATGCCACAGGCCAGAATCACAACCAAACGGAGTCATAAAAAATGTGCTGTTGTCAGTCTCTTGTGTCACTCGTAGTAATTACATGTAATTACTACGTTGGCAGGCTGCTCCTCCATCTGGGGTGGCTCCAACCCATCCTTCCCGTACACGACGAACAACAAGGGAGAGGGCCCCGCCTGGGCCAACTCCCTGTTCGAAGACAATGCTGAGTTCGGCTTCGGCATGCGCAAGGTTCGCCCGCAGCAATACGGTGCCATGTGCTGACAGAGGCAACTGTTGAATGTTTTCAGCTAGGCCTTCAAGCAGCGCCGCGACTACCTCGCAATGCAAGTGGAGGTCTGCGCTCCGTTTGAGCTAAGGGCCCGGTCGGGTGTTTCCGGTCGCAGGCGGTTTCGTGCTGGCATGTGTTGACCTGCAGGACACCTTGGCGGATAAATCCGTGACGATGTCCGACGAACTTCGTCAGGCACTGCAGCAGTACTTGGTGATGCGCAAGGACGCACATTCCCTCTGACCATGTCGCCCAGTGCAAGGAAGTCCAATTCTTATCGTCGTTCGCAGGAGCAGATGCACGACCTCTTGCTGCCCAAGGGCCGCAGCGACTCGTCTGTATGACTGGAACATGCTGGCACAGTGTGGCTTGCCCTGCGCAGCATCGTCGTGTCGCTGTCCCGAGGCATTTACCATCAGATCATGGAAAAGCTCGTGCCGCTGTTGGAGAAGGACCTGAGTTTTCCACTCATGATCACTGGGCCAGCTCCACTACTTGCAATTTCAGGAGAAGACCGCCCACCCAAAGATCCACAACCTCTACGACTTGCCACTCGGAGAACCATGCAGTCACCGTCGGAACAGTCGATGTCAATGGTTTAAGCTGTACCGTCTGTAGCATGCATTTCTGATGCAGTAGTTGCAGCAGCCAAGGGAAGACATGTTCGGTCGCAGCAGCTTCTGGATTGTTGGTGGAGACGGCTGGGCCTACGACATCGGGTACGGTGGCTTGGACCACGTGATTGCCAGCGAGGAGCACGTGAACATCCTCGTCCTTGACACGGAGATGTACAGCAACACAGGCGGTCAGGCGTCGAAGGCAACACCCAAGGGAGCGATGGCCAAGTTTGCCGAGGGTGGCAAGCTCACACAAAAGAAGGACCTGGGCCAGATGGCCATGGCGTACAAGAACGTTTACGTCGCAAGCATCTGTGTTCATGTGAACCCTCAGCAAGCAGTGCGAGCCATGATTGAGGCGGATGCCTATCCGGGCCCTAGCCTCATTCTGTCCTACACCCCATGCATTAGTCAAGGCTTCCCGATGGCTGAGTCAATCCAGCATTGCCAGATGGCCGTTGACAGCGGCTACTGGCCCCTCTACCGCTACAATCCTGAGGCTGGGGCGCATGGCAACAATCCCTTCCAGCTCGACAGCCGAAAGATCAAGGGCGACCTGTTCAAACTCCTGGCAAAGGACGGGGGAGAGGGGCAAGAAATGCGAAGCCAGTCGCAGTGATTCGGATGCCATGCCCTGCCAAGTGATTGCATGCTGTGTGTGATGAGCCGTGCCGCTCTCAGGAGAACCGCTTCGCAGCCGTGATGCGTCGCGACCCGAAGCACGCCGAGGAGTTGGACAACAAGCTGCAAGAAAATGTGGTGCAGAAGAATCACCTGCTGCAGGTCCTGAACAAAGAGGACTTGGAAGGGCAGTTCTCCAAGTTGGTCGAAGGTCTGTCGGATGCGAAGAGCTCAGGTGACTCTATTACAGTGCTATATGGCAGTGAGACCGGCAATGCGGAGGAGCAGGCGAAGAATCTGATGCAAGACCTCATTGCACGCGGACTGAAATCCACTGTGAGCTCTTTGGATGACTTCGAGTTCGAGGAGCTGCCAAACCAGAAGATTGTCATCTTGGTGGTGTCCACGTGCGGACTGGGCGAATATCCGGCCAACTGCAAGCAGACCTGGCTCAAGCTCCAGTCTCCGGATCTGCCAATGTCCTGGCTGGCAGGCGTGAAGTTCTGCGTCTTCGGCCTGGGCGACTCCACCTACAGCCAGTTCTGTGTGGCTGCTGCCGGCTTCGACACCCGCTTCGGCGAGCTCGGCGGGCAGCGCATGCTGAAGCGCGGCGTGGGCGACGACCGTGATGAGGACAGGTACTACACTGGTTGGGAGGCCTGGCTGCCAGAGCTGTGGAAGGTTCTCGGGGCCCCGGCTTTGCCGCTGAGCCAAGACATCCCTGCGCCTTCCTATCGGGTGGATGCATCCGCAGGCGACGTGGCAAAGCCACCCATCAGCGATGATGACATCATCCCGCCCGGTGCCAACAGACTCACGCTGCTCACCAACAACGTGCTGACAGGGGATGCCAAGTACGATCGTGACATTCGGCATTATGAGTTCAAGATTGAAGGCACCAACGTTGCGTACAAGACAGGCGAGAGCCTTGCCATCTGGCCCCGCAACCCGGAAGACAAGGTCCTGGAATTCTGTGAGATGATGGGGTTCGATGCCGGGCAGCATCTGCGGATCCTGCCGCTCGAGGGTGCGCGCAACTGGTGTCCTACGGAGCTCAGCGTGCGCCAGCTTTTCTCCCACGTCTTGGACATCTTCGGAAAACCAAACAGAAAATTCTTCCAGACGTTGGCTCTCTTCGCAAAGGATGAGGCAGAGAAGAAGCAGCTCCAAAGCATGGTTGAGAACAGCCAGGAGGGTGCCGCCCTTTACCGTGACTTGACGCACGACTTCGCACACCATGCAGATGTGCTGAAGAAGTTTGCTAGTGCACGACCTCCCATCGAGCACTTGCTTCAAATGATGCCAGTCCTGAAGCCCCGCAGCTATTCGATTGCCAGCTCTCCGTTGATGCATCCGGACAAGATCCAGCTGTGCGTGGTGTTGGTGGACTGGACGGTGGAGAGCACCAAGGAACTCCGCCTAGGCGAGTGCACAGGCCAGGAGTTTCTGATAAACAAGGTCACGGAGTTACGGTTGGCGGTTTAGGGGTCAAGGCTTCGTTGCTTTCCGGCTTAAGGGCTTTGGGTTTCAGCGTTTTAGGGTATTAGGGTTTCGGGGGTTTTAGGGTTTGCGGTACGGTCCGTGCGAGGAGACAGAAGCGGGACAAACCTTTAGAGGCGTGGAGACTCCCGGGTGAACCTCTCCTAGCGATGCCCTGTGGTCCCTAAACCCTGAACCCCAACCACCCTAAAGACATTTGAGATTTGTTTCTTGCACACTCGCGGCTTGCGAGTGCCCTTTGAGTCCAAGCTTCTTGCACACTTGAGAAGTTCAGCGTTCGTACGCCAGGCTACATGCAGCAGCAGAAGCCGGGAGCACAGATCATGTGCGCCGTGCGATCGAGCGCCATTGTGCTGCCCAAGGATGCCACGGCTGCAACCATGAGGGCACCTCGAGTTGAGTTGTGAGAGCTGGAGTTGCTAGGAGCCAGAGAAGCCTGTCATCATGGCCGGCATGGGCACAGGATTGGCCCCGTGGCGTGCTGTCACGCAGGAGCTTTTGATGACGTTGTGCCATTCTGTGAGCAGAAAAGCAAGCTTGCTGGTCTGATGTTGCCAGGAGCGAGTGATGCAAGCCAGGCAAGGGCTCAAAGTTGGCAAGTGCATGCTGTTCTTTGGGGCCCGGTACAAGCAGGAGCCTCGCAAAGAGCACAGCGTTCATGCTTTGGTGCACTCCTTGTATTTTGCAGGAGTGGCTCTACAGAGAGGAGTTTGAGAGCTACGAGAAGGAGGGTGTCCTACAAATGCACACGGCCTTCTCGCGAGAGCAGGCTAGTGAGCACTCCTGCCCTGTCCGCTTCATGTAGCAGCGATGCAGTGATGAGGCACGCAAGATCTACGTGCAGCACAGAATAGTGGAGGCAGCTCCATCGGCGGAGGTTTAAGACTGCTGTCTGCTCTGAATCTCTGAAGTGCGGTATCGCTCCAGTAGAAGTCTCCGTGTTTGTTTGCAAGAGTCCGTGGTGCCTTCACCGGCTGGAAGCTGCGTTGGCAATCATGTGAGGCGGGAGCCGACGTCGCAGAGAGGATGTTGAATCAGGGCGGCCACTTCTATGTGTGTGGATCTGCACGGCAAGTGCCCGAAGATATCTATACCGCCATGAAGGAGGTTTCTTGGCAGCATTGCTTGTTTTGTGGCGAGGAATCGCGGCGGAATCAGAAGCATGCTCGCTGCCTGGTTCGCCAGGTCATGATGGCACACGAGCGATGTCCTGAAGAGGAGGCGGAGGCGATCCTGTCAAATTTGAAGATGGAAGGCCGTCGCTCGGCGCGCAATTGTGGAAGGAAGCCTGCTCGAAAACATACGGTTCAATGGAAGATAATCGATTCTTCTGTTACCGGGCCCGAAGAGCAGGTGCCGGGCAAGCAAATCACGAGACGGAGGAATCGAGACACCGAATGCAGTCACGCCTAGGAGCTTCTGCATCCTGAGGTTACACGGTGGAAGCTTGGTCGTGAGCAGAGTCTCAGGTGCGTGATGCACCGACATTATTTCCAAAAGTTTCTTAATTTGGCATACCAGGCGAGGAAGCGTTGGCTCGCAGGGGTCCAGTTGCGGGCTGCATGGACAATTTGCGCCGGCATTCTCTTTGATAATGTTCTGTCTTGCGGCAGTGGCACATGGCTCGTACGTGATAAAGCAGCTCTATGTTGCCTTGATACGATTTTCTATTGGAAAAGAGCTGATCGCCTCACGGGCACTGTCGCAAGCTGTCACGAGCTGCTGCTCACCGCACCCCGGTGAGTGCCAGTTAGAGCTACTGACCACGCCAAGGGCGCGGAACTTCTCACCAAGCTGGTGAGTGCTCGCCAAAATTGCAAAGGTACAGTTTTGGTTCTCAGGGCCCTTCTTTCAAGCGATATGTGTCGTCGTCTGTGCAGCAAGAGAAGTGGCTGGCGCGTGAGTTTCGAGGCTCAAGCGACTTCGTCTGAAGCGTCCACAGGTGCCGGCGCTCTGGGTTTATTCCAGTGATGGCTCTCCGCGGACAGCCGGGGCCTTATACACCCTATATCACCTTGTACATTCTGGAGCCAGGGTGATGCTTCCTGCATGCGCTGCCTCTCGCTGACAGTCACTTCTGGTTTCCATCCTACTGTTCGAGTGCTTCCTGCCTTGTCCTTTTTGCGTGATTTCTCTGCCCAGGACAAGCCCCTTCGGTCCCTATGGTGGTCTTTGCCTCCAGTTCTTGACACGGAGTCAGGAACGTCAAGAGGAGACCGCGGAGAGGTTGGAGCCCCTTGGGGCAGGGTCTGGTGCGGCAGACATCGAGTACGAGCAGTTTATGAAGGCCAAGGAAGTGCAGAGGGTTATGTTCCAGCAAGAGAACAAAACCATAGTACACCAATGCGCCGACACGGACATCATCGAGGCTACAACAGGGTCCATTGCATGCATCGATGGGAACCAAGCCGCAGCTCACGTTGCCTACGCCCTCAGTGACTGCGCCTTCATTTATCCCATCACACCGAGCTCTCCGATGGGAGAGATGGTGGACGAATGGGCCGCGCAAGGCTTGTATCTCAAAGTTGGGGTGATGCCGTGACATGACAGTGGTGCAGCTGAGCCTCATGTTTGTTTCTGTGTCAGGCCTCATCAACTGCTACGGACAGAAGCTCAGTGTGACGGAGATGCAAAGCGAGGCTGGCGCAGCCGGTGCTCTCCACGGGGCATTGAAAGCAGGTGCCTTCAGCACCACCTTCACAGCCAGCCTCCTGGCCAAAGCATCTGTTGCAAGCTTTCTAGAATGTTTTGTTGCTGGTGGTTCTGAGTTCTTTCGTCGTTCTGACTGGCAAGTTTTGTGGTTGGGAGGTCGGGCAACCGTTGAGGTGGTGCTGACGAATTAAATGACTGATTATTTAGTGATTGAGCCTGTGATCAGTTAGTGATTCTTTGGTGATTGGACCTGTGATCGAGTTAGTGAACCGGATCGTGTCTGTGCTTGAAGCTGTGACCAATTAGTGATTAGTTGGTGATTGAATCTGTGATCGAAATTTTCTTTTCACTATTTTCATTCTTGAACAGAAAAATATTGAACAAATAGTGAACGATTAGTGATAAGTAATGAAAATAGTGGAAACATAGCGGAACTATATAATGATTTTCAGACATTTTCCATGCTTCGATTATTTTTGATTGATTTCATTTTGCATTTTTATTGATTGTTTACCACTCTTTGAGTTTTCTCATTATGTTTTCATTTGTCTAATAAGAGATAAGAAGTTTATTGAAACCGACAATGAAAATCGTTAAAAATTAAGGAGACATGTGAAGAACCAAGCGAAAACTATTGAGTTTCATAAGTTTTCAACTATTTTGCTTGTTGTTCATTGTTTTGTTTCTTGCTTTTCGCTATTTTTGGTTTGTATTTGTAAATATATGTGTTCACTATTTTTCCCGTTTTAAATCACTTTTTCTCATTGTTTTCCATATTTTCCATTAAAATAGTGAAACATAGTGAGGAATAGTGTTTTCACTCTTTGAATTTTTCATTGTTTTAGTGAAAAATAGTGAAACAAAAACTGAACAAATAGTGAACACATAGTCACATAGTGGAAAATGAAGACTTTTAGAAGGGGCTATGTGATCACCTCCAGCTTCCATAGCACGGTGGCCCCGGGACCGGCTGGCCTTGACACTGGCCAGCTGGCGGCGAAGATTCACGTGAGCGACGCTATGGGTGCGGCCGCGGCGATCTTTGCGCATGATGACAATTGCTGTGCTGATGCTGACCATCTGAATGGGCTTGTGGTTTGGCCTGCTTGGACAGTCTGCAGAGGCCGGCGTGAGGAAAACCATGACTGGAAGAACGGTTGCAGAATCGGAGAGGCCTCAAATCCTGGACCCACAGGAGGAGGCTCTAGGGCAACTGCTCGGCGCCGTGCCGAGTTGGAAGCTGATGGCTCAGAGGACGATGGGGGAGGTCTCGCTTGCCTCCTCCGCCCCATGATCAAGAGCATGATTCAGGAGATCCTGATGGAGTTGCTGGGCGGCGATGGTTTGAAAGGCATGCTCAAGAGCATGCTCCTTGGTGGCATTGCTGGTGCAACGACGGTGCCCACGGCTTCGGCAGCACCCTCTGTGGGTGAGACGGTGCAGGCCGAAGCCGGCAACAAGGAAGGGCGCTGGAAGAAACGGCGCAGAGTGGGACAAGATGGTGTGGAGGCCGGTGCTCAGGGCAGCTTAGCCAAGGGCGGTGGCAAAGGGGCTGATGATGCGGTGAAGGGCCAGGGCAAGAAGGGCAAGCCTGAGCCCACCTCGCCCAAGGGCAAGGACGGCCCAGCCAAAGGCAAGGGCAAGCAGCCGAGCGAGCCCCCGAAGGGCAAGGGCAAAGCAAGTGGTGGCGGCAGTGATGGCAAAGCCTCGGGCACGCCATCCCAGGATGTGGACATGCAGTCAGCTTCTGGCCAGGCTGCTGAGCCTCAGTGGGAGACTGTCCCGACTCGCTCCTGGACTCTCCGCGATTACCTATGACGAGTTGGTCAAGAAGGCGGATAGCGATGCTGAGGTGGTCCGGGCTGTTGCTTTGGTCGACGAGGAGCAGCGCGATACTCTGATGACTCTCTTTCGGGGTCTTGGCAAGCAGCATGCACTGCTGCTGGCGGTGCTCAACCCTAAGAACTTGGCGGCCGGACAGACGACGGAGCGATGCCCTGGTGCTCAGGGTGATCGCCTGGGGCCTTTCGGCTGGTTCATTTCACAAGGGTATGGCTGCACAGGCTAAGGTGGAGAAGCTGAGCAATTCGGTTGTCTTTGTGCGGTTTGTGCAAAAATACCTTGACAAGGAGACTTGGGGGCAGGTCACCAAAAATCCTCAGCGAGTTCCTCGGGCGCGCTTGCCTTCGTCGAGCCGTCTCGGGGTTGCGCCATGGTGCCGACGAGCACGGAATGGGTGCCGCTGCTTGAGGGTGAGCAGCCTGGCGCTTATTTGAAGCGATGTCTCGCCCTTCCGGGCGACTTTGGGTTGGTCCATGGCAGGCGGCAGCGGGGCCGCCGCATGAAGCGAGATCCGAGCACACCGGTGCAGCGCCTTTGGCTTGCTCAGGGCGTCCCCTCGGACGTGACGGCCGAACAGTTGGCCCATGTGTTGGGGCAAACTTTCAGCGATGTGGAACTTGTTTATCAGAAGCGCAAGGGCTCCACGATGGATACATTTCGCGGAAAGACGGCTGAAACAGCTGACTCAGTTGCGATCCCCATGCAATTTGGGGACGGCAACTACATGCTTTGGGTGCGCCATGCTCCGGCCAAAAGGGGCTCGCCGCCCGGACAGCTCATCCAGACGAGTGGGGCTTGGTCTTTGCTTGGGCCCCGTAAGGCGTTCGCCGTTCGCTTCCGAGATCAAGAGTGCTGTTTCCGATGCCGCTGCTGCCGAGTCGGCCATGCCGAGTCAAGCTGCTGAGGCCGAGGTTACTGAGGGTAACCCAACTCCGGCCCCGGCTCCTGGTCCTGAGAAGCCTGCTGACAACAAGCGGGCAAGTCAGGCGGACCCGCCTGTGGCCAAAGCGCACCGCCGTTGTTCAACGTGCCCTTCCCGCTGGATGCAAGGTGGTACCCATCCCCACCGATGGCAATTGCCTCTTCGCTGCGGTGGGCCATTGTGTGGCCAAGCTCGACAAGAGGGAGGACATGAGTGCCGCTGTGGTTAGAGCCAAGTTGGCCACGCACATGTCCCGCAACAGCAACCGCTATGAGCAGGAATGGGACGGGGAACTCCCCGATAGAACCAAAGGCAAGGATTGGGACAGCTACGTAAGGGCTATCGAGGCCAATGGTGTGTGGGCGGGCTCCCCGAATTGAAAGCCTGCTCGCGACTCTGGGACATGCGCGTCATTGTGTTCCCGGTGCAGGAAGACATAGAACCTTTTCGGTGCACAATCAGCAGAAATCGCGGGTGATGGCACTTCGTTTCACGGGTTCTCACTATGATGTTCTTGAAGGTGACGGGGGAGCCCTCCCGAAGAGCATTCTCGGCATTCGTGGTGTCCCTGAGGCGGTCCCTCACCGGGGTGGTGGCCTGGATCGAGGGAATGACAATTGCAGCTGCCCTTCGCAGTGGACGGTTTCTTCTCGACCACCTGTAACCAAGGCCGGCTCCAAGCGCTCTCGGTCCTCGGCTTGGACCCCTTCGTCTGTGGTGGCTGCTCGGCAGCCTTCCTTGGCTGGAGCGGCGACTCCGGCTTCAGCGTGGACCTCTGAGCCCTGTGCTTCAGGGCGCCCTGCTCCGTCTGGGTTTAGGGTTTAGGGTTTAGGGTTTCGCGCTTGTTTTCCGTGTCTTCAGCAATAGCGTCGTTCGTCACGTACGCGGAGCTCTTACATGCCCACCCCAACGAAGCCACCCAGAGCTTCCGTACTGAGCTTAAGTTCTTAAGCGTTTCTGACAGAGAAGCATCTGCACACGAGAGTGCAAGAAGCACTTGTCCAGTTTAAAACAAGCGCCCTTCCATTTTGCATCGACGTCCTGGTTTAGCAATCGAAGACGGTCTAGGCCATGTTCGGTGATGGCGTAAAGCAGAGCGACACAGCATCCAATTGAGCCAGAGATATCAGCCGCCGATCTTGGTCAGGCCGCAACGCGATGGCGTAAGCGCGTCGCTCATCTTGGTCTGAAGTCGAACAGGACCGGATTGCAAAACATCTTATCTGGTCGTAAGTCATTTTTATGCAGTTGTGTTGCTCGTGAGGCGGTTACGGAAGTATCACTATGTGTTGAACTAGTAGTCTTCAATGCTCGTGCTTGGGCATCGAGGACGGGTTTAGATTCGGAGCCGTGAAGTTGTGATGCCGTTTCTGTCCACGATCTTGCGCGGATACAAAGGTGCCGCAGCTTTGCAGCTCCATAAAGCGATGACGTGACCGCATCATGAGTAGTTCGGATCTAGGCCGTCGGGGCAAGACTCTAACTCCATCCCTTGGCCGTCACACACTACGACACAGTTCCGACAATTGATCTTAAAGCAGTTGAGGCTGCAGTCAAGCCTTCGCTGTACGATAGCAACCACAGCTGTCAAGTTTCTTTGCGATGACCGTTTAGTTAAAATCCTTGATTAGCAACAAAGCCAAGACCTTTTCGCGCGCGCGCGCGCGCGTTGTAAGACCTTTTCGCGTGCGCGCGTTGTTGGGATCCCGAGAGCTCCAGTCAGGGCCACTACTTCCGCCAGGGCCTCGCTTTCCCCCTCCAGGCCGCTCCTTATATGTCGCCAAGCTCTTCTGCGGCATGTCGCAAAAACACTTTTCTTTTTGAAAACTCTAAGCATTCTCGAATGCTTCCAAGATGACTGCTTTCCACGCTGAACGTAAGCTTTGAATGCCAACCCTTGACCTTACACACCGTGAACCTTCGACCCTGAACCCTGAACTTTAAACCTTAAACCATGAACCATGAACCGTGAACCCTGAACTCGAACCACAACCATAACATGGTCTTAAACGCTTTCAATTTCGAACATGAGCCATGGACCGTGAACCCTATAGCTTCTTCTTCCAACGCCACACCCTCAGGCAACACCAAACGCAGCATCAAAGCCACACCCTTCGCAGAATCAACGCGACACCCTTCAGCGGAGCACTGTGTCACACCCCGCGGGCCCTCGACCGGAAGCCTACCTGATTTGAGCTCCTCTGTCCGTTTGCGCCCCTCCCGAAGCCCGCCTGAAGATACCAAAATTTGGTGTTTGAGGGCGCCCGCGGGGTCAACGCAGAATCAACCT